TAACTTTATTACTATGTTAATTCATACCAATTAAACCTAATATTGCAATATTGTCAAAGTAGTGATAGCAAATGATCAGATCAATTGGCCATTTTAAAATGATCTCTGAATGACCTTTGAATAACTTGATTATTTAAGGTCATTTATCATTTAGTTATTTAAATATAATACAGACCAAATTTTATATATTTGCCAGAATTACAAATTTATATTATGTAAAATATTTATGAAAACGTTCAAAACATAATTATATTAGCTAGAATTAATAATATTATATGTTATAATTCTTAAATAAACAGATCATTTGTTATTTTTTAATATTAAAATAATTCAAATGACACATAATTAGTTATTTGAGTCATTTGAGATCATTTAAATCATTTGTTATTACTGGTCAAAAGGATATCTAATATACAATGTTCTGTAATTAAAGATAATTTTTCTTTCTTAACATTTTGGATACAATATAATAGTATTTAACTGATTCACTGACTATATAGATATTTACTAAATATAATAAATTTTCAGACATAAATAGTTTAGATAGTTTTAATGCATTTTTTAATAAATATGATGGTAAACTAATCTCTTTTTAAATTCAAAAAGAATATATACTATGCAATCTATTTAATAAAGTCATTACTGAATTTATTCTTATATTATTAGTTCAGTTACCTGTGAAATGAGCATGTATTGAGAATATTTTTAGTAATAACTCAAGTTTATGTATTCAAATAAACATTTTAGTATCTAAATATACATTTGTTTTATTTGAGATTAAAGAAACAAGATTTTGGGCTAAAAAAATTAGAATTACCTTTGTAAAAAATAATATCCAATTTAAAACATGACTCTGAAATTTTAAGTTATAATGTAATTGATAGTTTATCTTTCACCATAAACAAGTAAGCATGCTTAAAGACTTGTTGAGTTTATTCATTAAAACTAATAATTCAGTATATCTTTTAAAGATAAAATTCTTTATTTTCTGAGAAAAGCAATAAAATTATCAAAGGACATTTTATCTTTACTATAAAAATAGAATAAGTTAAATACATATGAAAATATATGAAAAATTTTATAAAATAGAGTTTTTTAAAAATTTCACTCTTATTTATAAATAAATTTACATTTCTTTAAATGGTAAATTTCAATAGAAATTAGAACTAGCTTATCTAAAATATCATTTATTTTGCTTTTAGATTAATTGCAATGAAAACTGAAGTCTTATAAATAATAAATACATACTAAACAAAGAAAATAAGAACCCATTAAAAAAATCAAAATTAAAAATATATTATTATTACTGCAGCCTGAACTAATTTAATTTAATCAGTATATAATAATAAATAATAATTGTGATAAAAAACAAATTCAAAAAAAATGAATAATTAATTTTTAATATTTAATTTTTATATTTTTTGATAAATTTTTAAATTTTAAAATTTTAAAATATTAGATTTCTAAAATAAACAGATTATATTCATAAAAATTTTAATTAAATTCTTTTTATAAGGTAATTTTAAAAAGTTAAAGATTATTAATATTTATTACATAATTCTATTTTTAAATGTATAAATTATAAAGTTTATTAATAATATATAATTGCCTAGCAAAATTCATTTTAGCAAATATCAAATATCGAAACCTATATTTTGACAGATTTATTAATATGATTTTAATTTAGTTTTGACTTTTAACAAATTTTATTATTTAGTTTTGAATTTCAACTGTTTTACCAACAAGGTTTATTATAGTTTTGTCAGTGATCCTGTTGAAATCTGATATTTTTTATCAGGCAATTATAGTTACATAATATTTAAAATCTAATATATTTTCTTTTCTTGTAGTTGACTTTAAATGCAAGTTGAAATGCTAAAATGCTAAAAACTTGATTTCTTGTATTATTTAACTTCTTGTTCCTATTTGTTAAAAATTTAATAATTAACTTTGTATTTCAATCACCAAAAATTCTATTCTATATCAAAACATTTATTTTGAATTAGTTAAGCCACATGAAATAATGAATCTGAAAATTTCAGCATTGATTTGATCTATATAAAATATTTAAAATAATACTATATTTCAAATAGATATTTAATTTAACTTTTTTTTTTAAATTACCATGTTTGTAATTTTCACAAATCCTATATAAATTATTTTAACAATAGTAATTTAAAGCTGCTAGTGCTTTATTACTACGTTTGGAACTGTTAAATTTAATATAATTTTTAATAACATTAATAATAACGAAATACAGGTTTATTATATTTATTCAAATATGTATTTAAATTTAAAATATTATTCTATCTTATCAATTTATCTAATTACTATTAATGTGTAATTTATCTTTAACTGTATAATTATCTTATCTTTAAAGGATCTCATTTTTTTCTTATTGAATTAGGTATATTTTTTAATGTTTATCATTTCTTATCTTTTAAAATGCAAAATTAAATATAAATTAAATTGAAAATATATACAAATTATATCTTCATTATTTGTATATATTTTATTACTATCATTATTTAAATCTGAATTATACCAGATATTGCTTTATTTGAATTTAATAAATTCACTTATATTTAAATATTGCTCTTCTTTATTTAAATCATTTTCTTTATGAAGTTTTTATATTTCTTTATTTTTAAAAATAGGATATATATAAAAGGTGAAAGTAAAAAAAGATAAAAATTAAAAAAGTAAACAAAAAATCCATCAGTGTATACGTTATATATAATAAGAAAATCACTCATATATAATTTATATCTATAGCTGATAACCTAGTTATCTTGTATTATATATAGAATAATAAGTATAAGTATAAATGAAATTAAATACAATACAATGAATCATTTTAGACTTGAGAATTCTGTAAAATATTTTGCTGTGTCAAAAAGAAACTATCTTATAATAAATATAGTTAAATTTATAATATAACTAATTTAGTTAACATATACAGTCTAAAGAGGATAATGCTAAAAATTACAGTAATTTTATAGTAAATCTAATAAGTTTATTATTAAGTAATTTACTATTTTTATTTTATTTATTTAATTATTTTTTTGTTGTGGTTTTATTTTTACACATAAACTATGAAATATTTTAATGTGATTTATTTGAAAATAGAGTTATCATTAATTTATTTTGTGTAAATCTAATTTATTATATACATAAATTATATCTTACCCTTGTATTTTTTTAAAAAGAAAAATCCATCAAGTTTTATACAATCATGCTTAAAAGAATGGATTAAAGAATAAAAATTAACACAATTACAATAGTAAAAAATTACAAATTTTAGACATTACAATTACAGCTTATACAAAATGAGTTTATTTGTAATTATAACACTTCTTGATATTTTACACCAAGTTTAATTTTTTATAATTTAATTCCTTATTATGATCTATTCAAATTCTTTAGTTGTAAAATGAAATGGTTGGTATCTAACAGGCAAAATAAGTAAATTTTCATTATTAAAGCTATCATAAATCCCTGAATTATTAAAGAAAATTTTATAATATTTCTTTAACATATTTTTCCATTCATAGCTATTTTCTTAAATAGTTTTTTCAGATGTGATTTTTGTTAGATTTTGTGAGACTATACGAAGTTTGACAAAGTTACTAAATATTAAATCTTTAAATATGTGATTAGAAAAACTATTATTAAAGATAAAAATATTAATTTCCTTCTAAAAAAAATAATAATTGCATAATTAATTTTAATCTATATATTAAAAAAATATAAATAAGTTTTTTACTTTGAGAAGCATTGTTCAGAATTTATATAATACAAATGTATATAATTATTCAAATGATAGCTTTTTAAACAAAAGGTTAATTAATTAAATGCAAGTTAGATTAATGAAAGTTAACTTGAGACAAGAAAGCAAATTATGCAACGAAATAATTTTGCATCTGATAATATAAAAAAAATTTGTATAATTACAAATAAAAATTACATGAGCATTTGTATTTAATCATTATTTAAAAGAATAAAATACATGTGCTTAGCCAGATATAGATAAACCTATAGCTAATTCTTCTGGACAACGTGTAGAGATAGCAAGCTTTGTTTAGGTTAATAAAAATTATTTGTAAATATAAAAATAAAAGTGCATACTCTTATAATAATGACATATAAATATAAGTAATTTTATGGAGAGTTAGAAATCTTGCAGTTTTTTTTCTGTAGAGAAAAGCTATGGTATTCTGATCCCCATAAAAATTACTAAATTATACCCAAGAGTATATGATTTGTGATAATTATTGCCATTATTATTATCATGTATTCAATTATTATTTATAGTTTTTTTATACTTTTGATTACATGCATAATAATTATTTCTTTCTTTTCTTTTTGACAAAAAATTATTTTTTTTATTTACATTTTAACAAATATTTGAAGATTTATATGATATTTTTTTTGCATTTTTTTTTAAAAAATATAAATAAAAAAAATAAAACAATTAAGTTTTATTGATATTTTCAAGAAAACAATATTAACTGAATCAATTAATTTTACTAAAAAGAACTAATTACAATAATACATGAACGATTTGTTATTCCTACTGATAAAGTTTTATAAATTATTCAAGCTTACTTTTGTATTACTAATATAGATGATAGTACAAAAACTTGGATGAATCTCTTTAATGCTTATAGAAATGCAGTCAATTTGACTGAATTTCTTAAATCATTAAATGATACTGCATTGCAAAATCAGCTTTGTTAATTCTTTTGTGATATTAAAAAATCTGAAAAAAAGAATATACACCTTCATTACATGTAAGCTTTGCTACAATTGCTAAAGGGTTATCTGATATTTTTTATCAAATTAGACTTATCAATATTCATGATAAGTATAAATGGAAATGGCTTCATGAAATTTTTGATGGTTGAATTAAACAAATTCAAGATAATCAAGATACATTTCGTTACAAAACTGATGCACTTACAATGTGAGAAATTGAAACTATTCTTAATTCACCAAATATGCAAACTGATATACCAAAAGGTCTCACATATTATGTCTGTTTTAGCTAACACTTCTTTGTAATCTGTGTGGTGGTGAAAAATTCTTGGATCATTATTAATGAAGATTGCAGTATTGAAGTAAATATACCTTGTGAAGAAAATAATACAAGAGGTGCCAAAAATCCATACAATAGTAGACATAATTATATTCCTGCAGATCAACCAAATAATTATTCTCTAGTAGCAGATATTTTATTATATCAATCTAAAAAACCAAAAGATTGTAAAACTGCTGAGTTTTTTTAAGTATTAATACTTCATGAAAAATATATTATGGTAATTGTTCTGTGATTCTACACTTAGAAAACATTCTCATGATAATATGCTCAAAAATATTATTGCTGATTGTAAAATTGATGCAAAGGGACGAAATCTTGTCAATCATTCAATGCGTTCAACTGGAATATCTTTATGGATGTTACTTGGTATATCTCATGCAGAACAGGTGAATATTACAGAACACAGGACACTTGCTGACATTTCTTCATATTCAACTTCAACTGTTCAACAAAGAAAAAAATAATGTTTCACTTCTTATTCTACAAAAAAGAAATATGGATGATCCTATCGAAATTTCTTCTAATAATTTTCTTACAAAAAAACGAAATACTTTAATGGAAATTACATCTGAAAATCAAGGTACCATAATATTGCTTTTCTTATTTTTTTTACTTCTAATCTAAAAAATTACATATTTTAGATTTATTACTGCTTCTCAATTATTTTAACAACAACAACATTTATTTGAAATAAAAGAAGATTTAAACATAATAAATATTTTGTCAAAAATTTCTCAAATTAATATTGAAAATATTAATATTCAAAATTGCAATAATGTTAAAGTAGTGGTTATAATTAAAGCACTAGAATAGATAAAACAGATAATATCGGCAATAATGTAAATTTATATATATCTATAATAAATAAAATAATTTAAAGTTTATGAAAAAGTTTATGAAAAAAAATAGTCTAAAATATCAAAGAGAAAACCATTTATTTTTATCATTAGGGAAATTACGTACGATAATTCTATATTATAAGTCACAATTAGTATGATGGGTATAAGATAAGAAATGTATAGGTCTAATTGTAGGCGTTATAATAAAATTGTGTATAAATAATACTATAAAAATTGGGACATAATATTATTTTTACATAGTGTTGGAATGACAAAATCTTCATTTATAAATTATATAATCCCCGTCAAAGTAATGGTAATTGGGATATTGCTTCTTGTGTAGATCACAGCATCTCTGTTATCCAATTTAGCCCATTGTTTATTAGACCAAATTAGATAATGGAATGTTTATATAAAAATAAATAATAAAAAAATAAATTAAAACCCTTTTGAACCTTTTTATTACTCACTGAAATCACAATACTATCAACATCTATTAAAATGAGTCTTCCATGGAAAAGGATCATATAATATTTGAGCTGTTTTTAAAAAAAAATTGAGAAAAATATTAAAAATATTTGTTGCACAAAAAAAATTTCAAATAAAATTTTTTTAATGAAGAAATGGGATAATCTTAATAACTCTATATTACTTAACTGTATCAATAGCATGCCTAATCGAATTCAAGCATGTATTGATGCAAGTGGAAGACACACTACATATAATTATCTAATAAAATTTATAAATATTGTTTTTATCTTTATTTTAAAAAAAAATTTACCTATATTTGATATAAAAT